GAACATTTTGTTTAGCAGACGACACAGAGAGCTATGAACATTTTGTTTAGCAGACGACACAGAGAGCTATGAACATTTTGTTTAGTTTTCCTGAACGATCACAACTCACGCTAAGAGAAAGTGCTACAGAGTTGCACATTCCTAAATAGTTTAACTTTTAAAAACCAGAAACTTACTAGTGTTCTACACATGTGAGAACTGAGCTTTGAGTCTCTAGAAATATCATTCCATGACTAATAAGTGACCAGTGAGCAGGACAACCAAGCTAGGTTTCCTAAGAGGAAGAAATGCCACACGAAAATGGAGTGTGTGGAGTGGCACCATGCCACAGCAGTCACTGTGTGCATCTGATCCTCACTGAACACAGAGCCCCAGTCACAGCGGGGGTAACCCAGCAGGCTGTTGGTTTTAGAAATTCTACGTTGACACCTTAGGTTTTCTTTTCCTTTCAAACGAGTTTACACACAAATTACAGGGGGGAAAAAAGGACTCTTGTAGGATTTACAATCCACTAACTCTAAGCTAGGAGCTGTTTCCCAGCCAACCAGCTGAGCTGTTTCTGCGTTTCTGTGTGCTCCTTAACAGACAGACAGGATGGGAGGTCCATACTCACTGGAGAGGACGGTTGTGAGGAAGATGTAGTCAGAGAAAGAGATGAGCCCACACTCTCCAAGGGTGTAGAAGATGCTGCCTTCATCAGCAAATTTTTCTCGTTCCTGGGCGATTTTCTAGTAGGGGCACAGGTCCCAGCAGGAAATAGAAAAGAAACAAGTGAATCAGAACACAGACAGTAAGAAAGGAAGACATTTCTCTAAGCTCACTCATCCCCTGAGCACTTCTAGGACAGCCATTCAACATCCATGGATCCTGTACAGTTTGTAAGCTAATGAAGAAAGACTCCAGGACAAGAGGTGATTTGTTCTTCACTTAAACACCGGGTTCACTGAGATTAGAAAATGTTTTCAGTTTTTTTCCTGCCACCGAACACATGGCCCAACTTTAGAACTGTTTTACTTTAAGAATACCTGGCATTACTCTTAAGACTATCATTTGGTAGTACAAAGAAAAAAAATAATCAAACAAAGAAAAGAGAAAGCTAAAAGGAAACTGGTTCCAACTGGCTAATAAATAAATAAATAAATAAATAAATAAGAACCACACTGTAGGTGATCTGGAAGCAGAGGGAAGGCAGCTGTTCTCAAGGCCATACATATGCTTCTGAAATACTAATTTTAACCTTTCCTTTTGGATTTTTAATCTTAGACTAGAACACAGAAGAGTATTTAGGATGAAGAGTATTCTGAAATGTAATCTGGAGTCAGACTTTTACCTAACTATCTGTTACTATGTTGGTGGATGCTCCTGAGTTTCAGCTGTTTGATGAGAATAAGCTGTTTGCTGACTCAGCTGCTGCTCCAAATGTGCGCACCCGTCCTTTACTCAGAGTCACGAAGGCCAGTTCTTAGTTCCACTAACAGCCTGCCTGATGCATGGACTCTTTCAGGGTGTCTGGCTAAAGGTTTCCTGTTCTCTGAATTCCTCATTGGGATACTTTCAAAAACTGCAAAGGATCCACCAGAGAGCTGTGCTTGAAACAAAGTCCGTAAGTTCTGGACCAACCACAGGTACTTAAGGCAATATTTACTCTGTGCACCAAAGGGGGAGAAAGAAAGAGGTTTTAAGAATTCAAACCAAGGCAGCATAACCAAAGAAACAATCTCATGCAAGCAAGAAAGCAAAAGATGGCCCAGCAGGCGGGAGCCTCATGAAAACGGACAAGCACCAACACACCAGCATCCAGGCACAGGCCACCACGGTTACCTCTGTCTAGTGGAGATCCCATCAACATCACAAAGGAAAGAGAAGTGGTTAAGCAATTGAGTGGGCCGGCAGAGGTTGGCATGAAGTCACCCCACAGGACCTTAACTCTGCTGGCCCATCAACAGGTACAAACCCACAGGCCCGGGTGGTGTGGCCACACAGCCCTAGATTCTATTTAGAAAGAACTTCCTGGGGCTGGGCTGCTGCTCCATGCAAGAGCTGCTTGCTACCTAGCATGCTTCGAGTTCCATCCCCAGCAACACAGAAACCAAACAGAAGACAGAGAGCAAGAGATTCTCCGGCTTTTGTGGCTGATATATGACCCCCAGGACAGTATTTAGTGATTTCCTCTCTGACACAAGAACTAGGATGAACACTAGCTCAGGGTGCTCTCAGCAAGGCTGGGTCTTTCTTAGGCCAATGCTTGGTTCTCTGCCTGAGGCCAAACACAAATTTCAGGAGGAGAGCCTGCCGGAGGAACTGCTAGGGCAAGGCCTGGGAAGTTAAAATGCAAATTCCTCATGTGTGTGTGTTACATTAGCTGATACATTGCAAAACAGTGAGAACAGGAAGACTTACATACAATGAAAATACATTTCCAAAGGCAGATAATGGCTAGCCTGAGCAGTAATGTGTGTACAGAAGCCAAAGAATGACTATAACTTCATGGAGACGCAGCACTGTGCGCTATAATGGGGGCAAGATACTTCGAGCCAAACGTGGAGGAGCAGGTGAGTGTTTACAAGTGAAAGCAGGCGGCTGGCCAGAGGTAGCATCACTTTCTGCGGCTGGGGAAGAAGAAAGACAGAAACCATACTTGGCCAGTAACTTTAGATTTTCACTCAATTTCAAACTGACATCAACATTGAAAATCTCATCTAAGGAGCCAGGATATCCTTTTTATGTAAGTTTACTAACACACGACTCCAGCAGCTTTGCATTTTCTACAGAGACAGCCTTTGCACTGAGCGGAGATAGCTGGAAGCGTGCTGCTACTTTACATGATTTTAAATATATTAGAATATATTTACTGTGAACAAAGACGTTCTCTTAGGCACTGTAAGCGCAATAAAAGCATGGAATTTAATATTAGTACACATAGTATTATCTAATGCCACCCGTTAGGAAAGAATCTTAGGACCTGATCTTGTATGTCCGCCACTGTGAGAGTGTGACAGTCAGATGACAACCTGAGGTGGGCAGTTAGGATCAGAGTCTGGTCATCTTGTCAACCTGCATCCTGTCCATTTTCACTTAGTTATCCCAGCAATTCCCTTTACACCCATGCGCCTTCTTCCCCAGTCCAGATGTGTCAGAATAAAAATGCATCCATTTGCTGGGCGTCTTTCGAGTCCTTTCCCTGGAACTGGTTTTCCTTATTTCCCTCTGACGGTTTAGTACATATTATTGTGATGGCATTTCCACAGAAGTCATCATTTTAGCCATTTAACCAACAACAAATGAATATTTTCTATCTGGTTTCTACCATCAGATGTTCTCTAGGCTCATCCGTGCTACAGTGCAAATCAGTACTTAATTACTTTGTGTTACGAAAGCCGCTGCACCATGTGTACACACCAGGACTGGCTTACCCCTCAGAAGGCAGGGCACTCAGAAGATGGCTGCCTCTGGCTGCCATATGTAGTCACTTACTAACAGCTGTCAGAGTGGTTGGGCTTCTCTCAATGTAGGCCCAGGAGTAGAACTGCCCTGTTACAAAGTCATTATATCTTTATGTTTTGAGGGCCAGCTTGCTTAGACAGTCATACAGTCTGTAGACATGACAGAAATGTAGTAGACCCACTGTGGGCAACAATCAGTCTTCACAGGCTCTCTTTGCTACACGTGTGAACTATAGCCAGCTCACTTAACAGTGCAGGTCTGGGTTTAGGACCTTCTGCTCCTTAGGGGAGGGAAGAGTTGTTTGTCAGAGTAGCCGTACGTGAGACCCCTGCTATTGTGAGAGGGAGCAGAAGATCCCACAGGATGGCCTACTTGCTTGGGTAAGAAGCAAAAGACACGGGAAAGAAAAGAAATGCAAGAAACAAGGACTCTGGACAGGAGGGTGCATCCAGGAAGGGAGAAAGCTTCAAAGAATGGAAGACACAGAGGGGACCAGGGCGTACGGCACAGGAAAGCACGGGTGCTGGAGAGGGAGGAAGCACAGAATCTGTGGGCCTCACAGCAGTTCTGAGGTCACAAGGAGTGATGCTTAGAAGTTTGCCAGCAGCTCCAGCCCTGGGATGGACCGTGCGATCAGAACCTCTTCACTCTAAAGTCAAAGTCCACCCGTCATCAGAGCTTCTGGAGTTGGGCAGGAAGAGGGGGAAACAGAAGCCCTCCGTGTATTTTCTGAGCATTCGCTTGTTAAAGGGTGGCTGGGTTACATGTAGGATGGCACATTCACCAGTGTGCCAGCACACAGTAGGACTGGACATTTACAGGTTTGGAAATACCCAAAGCTCTACAGAAGATCTGTACAAAAGCTAGGACATTTTAGTCACAGATACCAACATTATCATAAAGCCAGCAAATCTGGTGTCTCAAATTAAAGTAAGGAGAGCAGCAGAGGGCGGGGTCAAGATTGGGGGCGGGGCTGGGAGTGGTGATGCAGGGGGATCTCTGCCAGCCTGTTGTGCACACTGAGATGAGGTCTCAAAAAAAGAGGGAGGAGCATTATTGGGAAGACAATTATTAGACTGTTTTGTGCCTGTGGCTCTTCTTAGATGGTTTCTTTTTAAAAAGATCTAATTCTTATACAGACGATATCCTCAAATCAATTGCCCATGACATATAGGGAAGTTATGAAAACAGACATATGAGTTTGAAAATGAAAATTTAAAAGCCCAAGTATGGTAAAGATGGGCAGTAAGTGGAAGGACTGGCAGTACAGAGAGGGTCTGGATTAGTGTCTCTGATGGCAACGGTCTCATAAACGCCAGCAAGACATTCCTTTGGTTAATTTTTCAGGTAATGTTTAATGTCAGACTAAAGTATATGTCATTTTTTTTTACCCTAAGCAAACACCATCTGTTTGCTCAAAGAGCTAAAGGGAGGCACATTTTAAAGGAAAACACAATGATTTCCTTATCATTTTCTCCCGGAAATGTAATTTTTCTAAGAAAAATCCAAAGAATATGAATTAATTCAGTATAAGTAGGAAATCAGTATAAATAGCAAAGATAATAGACAAAGTGTAAGAAGGAAATTGAAGCTGTATTTAAAAGTGCAAAGAAACATTTCAAAGATGCTTCAACTGTCTTCTCAGAGCATATGCTATAAGATTGGGTGTATTCCAGTGTTAGCTCGGCGAGCATCTGTGAGATACGTCTTTCACCTTTAGGTTCCCAAGGGAGGGCTCCAGCCATTTCAGTGTATGGTGAAAATTTCCTGAGTATAGTTTTAAAAAAATTGCAATTGTAGGCAGCTTCCGAAGCATCAGGGCCACACTGCACAGCTCAGGTGTGACTTCTTAAATTCTCCTCCAATCTGTCACTTCAACTTCTGGAATTCAAAGTGTGAGGCAGAATGCAGGTCAAGTTTCTATTCAACTTCGTGACAAATGTCCCCGTTTGGATGACAAAATCTTGTAGAATGCCTCAAAGCAACAAGCTCACGGACATACATGAACAAAATATAACTTAGAACCTAGCCTTATTTCAAAATGAAGAGCAGAGCTACAGGCCTGAGAGTAAGAAAGACACTGACATTGTAGACCTTAAGAAACCCCACCTCAAGGGGGCTGCTTTGATTTCACTTGTACTATGGTGCCATACTCTGAATCCTCCCTCCCCTCCAAGGAATCAAAAACCAGGGCGTTGGGCTTACAAGGCAAGATATCTACCACAGAGGTGGAGCTGCATCTGTAGACCCCGACTTCCGTGTCTGTGTGTTTATTGCAGCTTGG